GGGAAAGAGGTTGAAATTATTTGGTTTGGTCTGAAAGCTGTCTTCCTTTGCTTGGTCTTTATAGTGGATGAATACGTGTATGGTTAGTACTAATTTTACGTGTATCACATTGACATTAGAGGAATACGACTTGTATATGCATATATATAGTCATCTCTATTAATGTACCTAATCAATACAAAGATGGAAATTTTCTAGATTTTGTATTCCCTTATCAAAATAACTTATATTTTGTATGCATGTGAGCTAAAAATCACGGTTTTGCGGTTTTGTGTCACGATCTAGAAAATTATGACTTTGTAATGACATTTCAAAAAATTCCAAAATTTTAAATTTGATATCCAAATAAAATATACATTAAATACACTGTTTTGTTAAGACATTAAAATATTTGTTACGGCCGTTTAAATAAGTGAAATGATAGTTTTTTTTATATATTTGAATAAATACAGATTTTGTATTAGAAGTCCTTTATCACCATTTAATTCAATTAGATGCCAAATATTTTCCATCCTTCAAATTAAATACAAATTTCAAATTTCACTAACTACACCATCCGATAATTTATTGGGGTTAGTTTGTGAGTAATTGGACAGGTTAAGTATCCAATCACTTGCGACTATTTCTTCAAACAACTTGAGTATGTTAATGAATATATATATATATATGAACAAGTGGTTCGTGTTTGCTACATATTATAAACACCGTTCTAAAGTCGATCAATTTGACTTCCAAACGCTACAAAAACCCGATAATTAATAGAAAATAGTAATTTCGTTAATAGTTAAATAGTAGTATCTAACCTGAATAATTGACTTTTTTTTCACAAATGACATTTAGTAAATTGATTATAATATGTTTTGAGTGTAGTTACGAAAAAAAAAAAGCATGTTTAAGTGTTGAAATAGATCGAAAGATAATCTAGAACCTCATTGGTCATGCTATTGTGAACTTTGATATCTGTATTTATTGAAGCTACCTCATTGGTCATCTCTTCTATATTATATATATATATATATATAACATTTACAGTTAACAAAAAAAATCTAGAACTAATAGTTGGACTATTTGATTTTTTTTCTTGTATAAAAATATGCAATACTGGGGGAGTACCCCAACCTAGTGGTTAATGACAACTCCCCTCTTCTATGAGGTTGTGGGTTCGAATCCCAAGTATAGTACTCCCCTTGAGTCGGTCAGCTTTACGATGATGGTTTACCTGCTCTGCGTGGTTTGCAGACTACTGCGCAGGGCGGTGGGTTTTCTCAGGTCCATGATACTGTCCTGATGTCGTTCTCGTCCGGCCCATGGATTGAAAGGCGTTGCGGTGTCCGGTGTCCAACCCGAATGGTTGTAGGATAAGGGTTTCCCATCGTAACAAAAAAAATATGCAATACGATAATTTAATTAGGTATCTAAGAGAAAATATTTCCTCTATATTTTGACTCTTTGATTCTCTCTCTCTCTTTCTCTATATACACATACGATTTTAAGAAAATATATTATAAACTATTACAAAAAAAATTGTCTATTTAGCTGCCAACACCACGAAAACCCTGTAATCGGTGAAAAAATTCATCATTTGATTGATCACCGTTAATAGTGGTTAAACTTGATTAATTATCGTCTAATTTGCTCAATCTCTGGATAATACATATATATATATATATATATATACTTATTCTTAAACATATGTCAGAAAACTCTCGTCTAATGGTGAAAATATGCCTTACGTGGTCGACATTTTCTGTGCGACAGGAAGGAAGACTGTCTAAATAAGACGCCCAAAATCAAATTTTTATTTCATTTTAATTGCTCTGTATTTTTCCTTGAGTCTGTCCCTACTTTCAACAAATTGAATGAGAAAAAATATCCAGAGTTTGAAATCTCTCACATATATTTTGTAATTTGTTTTTTCTGCGTAAAAAATATCTACACATATATTTTGATCAATTTCCGTGTTTTTGTAATTGGTTTTGTGCGTGTAAATATTTTTCATTTTACCCAATATTTGCGTATCATACATACATATCTCACAAAATCTTCTACTGTTCCAACGCATCCCGACATTTCTCTTCTATAAAATGGGCCAAAAACGGAAGCTCAAATCCATCCATAAAAGTGGCATACATTCCCCTTCCATCTTCTTCAGTTTCCTTAAGTGAGAGTAAAGTACAAAAAAAAAGAAAAGAAATGAACGCCATCAATGTCGAAGAATCCTTGAACCCTAACCCTAACAGAACCAAGGAACAAATGGAAGAAGATGAAGCGGGCTTGCAAGCCAGCAGGATATCAAACGCGGTGGCGTTCCCCATGGTTTTGAAAGCTGCCCTCGAGATCGGCGTCATCGACACTATCTCCAAGGCGGGAGAGGGCGCGTGGCTCTCACCTTCCGAGATAGCGCGTAGGCTTCCGACCAAACCCACAAACCCGCAGGCTCCACTGTTGTTGGATCGCATGCTGCGCTTACTCACTAGCTACTCTATACTAAAATACCGTACGGTGCAAACCGGAAATGATGAGATTGAAAGGGTATACGCATCTGAACCGGTTTGCCGGTTCTTTTTGACCGATAACCAAGACTCTGGTTCTCTTTTCTCCTTGTTTATGACGCTCCACGGTGATGTCTGTATCAAGGCATGGTAATCTAGTCTCTCCCTCTCTCTATCAAATCTTTTTTTTCCTCATTTCGATTAATTAACTGATTTATATGAATATATTTTCATTTAAATTGTTCTATAACAACAGTTTGCATCATCATTAACCATTCATATTATTTAACCGACGATCTAATTCGCAGGAATCATTTGAAACATATGATATTAGATGGGGGAGATGCATTTACCCACGCCCACGGTACGACCCTATTCCAATGCATGTGCAGAGACCAACCTTTCAACGATCTATTTAACCGGGCAATGACCGGACATTCGATCATGATCTTGAAGAAGGCTCTAGAAGTCTATCGAGGTTTCGAAGATATGAAAGTATTGGTCGATGTGGGAGGAGGAGTTGGTACTGCTTTAGGCCTCATTACCTCAAAATATCCCAACATTAAGGGTATAAATTTTGATCTAGCCAGAGCTTTAGCCGACGCTCCTCCTTATGCCGGTATTAAACATTTTAAAATTATATTTCTTTAACTTGTACATTAATATGTTATTTTTACGGCTCATAATATACATAATAAAAACTTCTATATACACCTTTTAACGTAAACTGCAATAGATTGGTGCATAACACAAGACACAAACTAAATTTACTCCCGTATTGTGTTTCGAGGGGTTGAACATGTGGTCGGAGATATGTTCGTTGAAGTTCCGAAAGGAGATGCCATCTTCATGAAAGTAAGTCACTCTCCGCCAAGAATCTTAATTTAAACGTATTAAAGAAATTCTATCTTTTGATTTTATATTATGAATTAAATATATCATAGTGGATTCTCCATGATTGGAGTGACGAAGATTGCTCCAAGATTCTAAGAAATTGTTGGGAAGCTCTCCCAGATAAAGGGAAAGTGATCATCATTGACGCGGTTGTTCCCATAAATCTAGAAGGCCGTAATGTCTACTCAAAGATCGTCTTCAGCTTCGACATGTTGATGATGTCTGTATGCTCAGGTGGGAAAGAAAGGACACGAACTGAGTTTGAAGCTTTGGCTAAGAGGTCGGGATTCAATCGCTGTGAATTCATATGTCGTGTTTTCCACTGTTGGGTTATCGAATTCAACAAAGAGACAGAAGCTTGACGGGAAAAAGATCAGAGTGTTGACGATATTACAGGAGAAAAGGAAGCCATGGAACATGCAATGAACGTATCTCGGTCATAACACATGTTTCCTTTTCTTGTCACGCAAGATATTGTATTTTCCTTTATGTATGTACATTCCTTTTTCTGTAAATGTAGCACGTCTGTATATAGGGACACCACACAATCGAATAATATAATCACGAGAGTATTTCTTTTACAAAGTGTCTCTCACCTCTAAAACCTAATTCTCCATTGCCGGCACAACCCGAAAAGCCGAGAAACCCATACTCCGATTCTTATTTTGTTCATGGTATCAGAGCGAGACGATCGGAGCTTCCACTGATTTGTCTTCGACTCAATTTCTTCCTGATTACTCCAGATTATTTCCTTCATCTCTCTCCCTGTTCTTTCTTTCGAATCCACTTTCGGCCATGGAAACTCAAGCCAAATCGATCCCCATTACCCTTCATGGAGAGAATTATTTCTATTGGTCAAAGGCTGCCAAAGCAGTCCTCAGTAGCAATGGCCTTTGGGAACACGTGCTTGCCGGTTTTGTCACCGAGACCCCTCCACAGGAAGTGGCTGCTGATGGGGAACTACCGGATGCGACTGCAATCCGCAACCAAGCCGATGTTGCTGCCAAAGCAAAGGCAAAATGGTACCAATCTGATCAACGGGCTCTCGTCATTCTTCAAGCTTCGCTGGATGAGAATCTTCTGCAGTCATTCATCGCCATGGACTCCGCAAAGTCCCTTTGGGATGCTCTCAAAAATGTGTACGGCAATTTGTCGAACATAAGCCGCATTTTTGAGATAAAGAGGAAGATCTTCCAACTGCAGCAAAACGGCCAGCCTTTTAACAAGATTCAGGGCGAGTTTTGCGCTCTTTGGGCAGAGCTTGACGAGATCAGACCTCCCACGGCGGATCTCAACGAATCCTTGCTCCGAGCACAAGAGGATAAGGTGTTTTCCCTCCTTTTAGCTCTTGATCCTTCTTTGAATGATCTTGTCTATCATATGTTGCGTCAAACTACCTTACCATCGTTCGATGAAGTTTGTATGATGATTAAACGTGAAGAAGGAGGAAGAACATTGTTCTCGGGTCCGAGCACTATGGCTCATTATGCTCAGAAAGCACCATCGACTTCTTTCTCGTCGAAGGAAAAGAAATCCTATTTCTGCGACCATTGTAAACGTGCCGGCCATTCCAAGGAGCGATGTTGTATTCTCAACCCGCACCTGAAACCGTCAAGGTTCAGAGAACAACCGAAACGTGGTGTGGCTATGTCCGCCGAACAAGCTCTGCCATCCGTTGCCGACAATGTTGTCGCCTTCTCCAATGCTGAAATCAAAGGCTTCAAACAACTTTTGCTCGCACTAAACACTAAAGACTCCGGTAACAATGCTATTATTCCCTCTATAGTAATTGATTCAGGAGCTACTTGTCATATGTTTTCTAATGCATCGTGGTTTCATACTCTTACACGTAGTTCTGGTTCAGTTACTGTAGCAAATGGACATTCGGTACCCATAGAGGGACATGGCTTTATTCGTCTTTTTGATCGTCGCATATCTGCACTATACGTTCCAGCATTTAAAACAAATCTATTATCATTGTCCAAGCTTCTTACGGAAACCGAATGTATTGTTACTTTCGAAACTGACCGAGTTTTGTTTCAGGATACTAAGATGGACCGGGTCTTTGGTTACGGCATTAGGCGGGGCAACCTATTCTATCTTGAAGATTTCCACTCTTGTTTTCATTCTTGTTTTGTTTCCCTTTCATCCGATGTGTGGCATGCTAGGTTAGGCCATCCTCATCGAAAGGTCCTTCGTTTACTTGTTCCAGAAGTTAAAAACGATTTTCACTTTTGTGATGCGTGTATGCTTGGCAAACATTGTCGGTCTGTCTTTCCCATTTCTACAACTACTTATGCGCATCCTTTTGAGTTAATTCACTCGGATATTTGGACCGCCCCATGTTTTTCTATTGATAATTACAAGTATTTTATCACTTTTATCGATGAAACGACCAAACATACATGGCTCACGTTATTGAAAAGAAAAAGTGATGCCTTCGATGCTTTCAAATATTTTTGCTCTTATGTGACTAACCAATTTGGCAGCAAGATTAAGTTTTTACGCACAGACAATGGAGGCGAATATATGGGGACCAACTTCCGCTCGTTTCTTCTCGACCAAGGAATTGTTCATCAACGATCATGCCCGAACACTCCGCAACAAAATGGCGTCGCGGAACGCAAGAATCGGCATCTTATGGAAGTGGCACGCACATTATTATTCCACCGACATGTTCCAAAACTTTACTGGAGTTATGCGGTTCAAACCGCGTGCTATCTAATTAACCGTCTACCGACACAAGTGCTAAATGATAACTCTCCATTCGAGCTACTCTTTCATCGTAAGGAAAGCATTGAACATCTTCGTACTTTTGGTTGTGTTTGTTTTGCTTATATTGATGCAGGACAACGCGACAAACTTGATCCTCGAAGCATCCGGTGTATCTTTCTTGGCTACCCATCCAATCAAAAGGGTTATATTTGTTATCATCCGCCGACTCGGCGACCATATACCTCTCGGGAAGTTCGATTTGTCGAGGATGTTGGCTACTTTGATGCTACGGATTGGCAAGAACTAGAGAATATTGCTCAGCCAGGCCTAGACTATGACGTCTCTGTTCGTCGCTTGCATGCAGCTCTAAATCATCTCAACTCTTCTACAACCATTCCATCGTCACCGGCTTCGACTGATACCTTGTCCACAGTCGAGCCGCAGGTCACATCTCCCTCTCGATCATTGTCATCTTCTTCTACTATTGTTTTCACTAACCATGCAGGTTCAGGTTCTATTCCACCCACCGAAGACATGCAATGCATTAATAATAATGCTCAGGAAGAAGATCCTTCTTTGCTTGTGCCATACTCAACCGAACCTGTCACTATGCTAGATTCTTTCGAAGCTTCTGCAAGACAGGGGGAATGTCCGACGCTTGCATCTAACTCATGCGCTCCGGCAGACAATTCCATGTCACAAGCTCAGGCCTTACGCCGAGGAACAAGGCCTCGTCGTCCCCCTTCATACCTTCAATCTTATGCCCATTTCTCTCTATTTGACTATCCATCAGATTCTCAATGCTATCACAGTGCCATTTTACAGGATATTGAACCAAACACGTATGAAGAAGCCAAGGATGATGCGGTGTGGCAAAAGGCAATGGACGAAGAGCTAGCCGCGTTAGACAGAAATGGGACATGGGAAATCACGTCACCACCGGACAATAAGCATGTGGTTGGATGCAAATGGGTCTATAAAATCAAATACCGGAGCGACGGCACAATCGAAAGACATAAAGCTCGCTTAGTCGCCCGGGGATTCACCCAAACATATGGCGAAGATTATACGGACACATTTGCTCCCGTAGCTAAGTTACCAACCGTTCGTGTCCTTTTATCTCTAGCTATTAACTTGGATTGGTCTTTATGGCAGATGGACGTTAAGAATGCCTTCCTCCAAGGCGATCTCGAAGAGGATATCTTTATGTCGCCTCCACCGGGTTTTAAACGTCCTTTGCTTCCGGGTCAAGTCTGCAAATTGAAGAAAGCCATTTACGGTTTAAAGCAATCGCCGAGAGCTTGGTATCACAAGTTATCCTCGGCCTTGCTCACTAAGGGTTTTTCTCGTAGTGACTCGGATCACTCCTTATTTACCCTTCAAAGTTCGTCCGGAATTGTGGTTTTATTGGTCTACGTCGACGATATTATTCTCTCCGGCAATGACAAGCTTGGCATTCAAGAAACCAAATCCTACCTTCAACGTGTCTTCGACATCAAGGACCTTGGTTCTCTCAAATACTTCCTTGGGATTGAAGTAATCCGTTCTACTAACGCGTTGTTCCTTTCACAAAGGAAATATCTTCTCGAACTTTTGCAGGATACTGGAAAGACAGGCGCTAAATCAGTTCGCACCCCTATAGAAGAAAATTTCAAGGATCAACGCGAGGGGGAATCATTGGAAGAACCGTCACAATATCGTCGAACCGTAGGTAAACTTATATATTTAACTATTACCCGACCTGACATAAGTTTTTCTGTGCATCAGGTTAGTCAGTGGATGCATGCCCCGACTTCAATGCATTGGAACATGGTAGATCGGATACTCAAATACTTGAAAGGCACACCAAACAAGGGAATTTGGATGGCAAACAATAAGCATACCGAGCTAGTAGCTTATTGCGACGCAGATTGGGCAGGCGATAGATTGGATCGACGATCAACTAGCGGATACTGTACATTTGTTGGAGGAAACTTGGTCACATGGAAGAGTAAGAAGCAAACGGTAGTAGCTCGGTCAAGCGCGGAAGCCGAATATCGAGCTATGGCCAACACAACGAGCAAGGTACTTTGGTTGCGGCAATTACTAAAGGATCTTGGAATCAATATCGAGCAGCCCACACCAATGCATTGCGACAACCAAGCCGCCATTCACATCGCAGCCAATTCAGTGTTCCATGAACGAACAAAACACATTGAAGTCGACTGTCACTTCATTCGAGAGAAGATCACTCAAGGACTCATCACAACAAAGTTCACTCGAAGTCAAGATCAACTCGCAGATATACTTACCAAAGCCACGAGTTCATTCGTACTCAATCGCATCCTCTCCAAGATTGGTCTAATCGAGTTTCCCCGACCAATCTTGAGGGGGAATGTTGACGATATTACAGGAGAAAAGGAAGCCATGGAACATGCAATGAACGTATCTCGGTCATAACACATGTTTCCTTTTCTTGTCACGCAAGATATTGTATTTTCCTTTATGTATGTACATTCCTTTTTCTGTAAATGTAGCACGTCTGTATATAGGGACACCACACAATCGAATAATATAATCACGAGAGTATTTCTTTTACAAAGTGTCTCTCACCTCTAAAACCTAATTCTCCATTGCCGGCACAACCCGAAAAGCCGAGAAACCCATACTCCGATTCTTATTTTGTTCACAGAGTTCCTTTATATATCCATCGATTGCTTGGATCCTCTTTGATAAGCGTTGTATTACTGTTGTATCTGGCTATGATGATTATGTAACTACTGATCCCTCTTGTACATCGGATTTGTGTTGATTATAAATTACAGTTGACAAAAATATATATATATATATATATATATACACAAAATTTTAAAACATCTTATAAACTATTATAAAAGAATTGGTCTATTAGCTGCCAACCACCACAAAAACCCTGTAATCGGTGAAAAAGTTCGTCATGTGATTAATCACCGTTAATATATAGTGGTTAAACTTGATTAATTATCGTCTAATTTGCTTAATCTCTGGCTAATACGTATATATTTTTTTCCTAATAAGGGCAGTAAAACAATGAGAATGAAGATTGTTCGTGTAAGTAAAAAGTAGGTATCTAGAAGGTGTGCCTAATTACTTCATTTTTTTTCCCAAATGACTTTATATTACATATTTTATTAGGTGCCTCGTTTTATTGTGGGAACATTTTCCACCAATATATTTATTTATTTAATTTGGTCAAGCATTAATGGGCTAATTCGACTCTATATATTTGTCGTGGCATGAATATTTATTCTCTCGTCTAATTGTGAAAATGATTTACATGCATGCACGGTCGACATTTTCTGTCCTGTTGAAGGAAGACTTTCTAAATAAGACGCCAAAAATCAAATTTGTATCTAACACTACGCTAATTCTGCATTTATTATCATGTTTTTTGTTTTTCTTGAGTCTGTTCTTATTTTCAATAATTGAATGAGAAAAAAAGATAATGAGAGTTAGAAATCTTTCACAAATATTTTTGATTGATTAGTAAACGATTTCCTCGTTTTTTTGTAATTTGTTTTTTTCTACGTAAAAAAATTCTCTACACGTCTCTTTATTTTCTACGCTCCCATTCCTCTTTTTTTGTACATGTATAATTTTTTTTCCATTTTATCCAATATTTTCGTATCGTACATACATATCTCACAAAATCTTCTGCTGTTCCAACGCATCCCGACATTTCTCTTCTATAAAATGGGCCAAAAACGGAAGCTCAAACCCATCCATAAGACTTGCATACATTCCCCTTCCATCTTCTTCAGTTTCCTTAAGTGAGAGTAAAGTACGACAAAAATGAATGGACGCCATCAATGTCGAAGAATCCTTGAACCCTAACCCTAACAGAACCAAGGAAGAAATGGAAGAAGATGAAGGGGGCTTGCAAGCCAGCAGGATATCAAACGCGGTGGCGTTCCCCATGGTTTTGAAAGCTGCCCTCGAGATCGGCGTCATCGACACTATCTCCAAGGCGGGAGAGGGCGCGTGGCTCTCACCTTCCGAGATAGCGCGTAGGCTTCCGACCAAACCCACAAACCCGCAGGCTCCACTGTTGTTGGATCGCATGCTGCGCTTACTCACTAGCTACTCTATACTAAAGTGTCGTACGGTGCAAACCGAAAATGATGAGATTGAAAGGGTATATGCAGCTGAACCGGTTTGCCGGTTCTTTTTGACCAATAACCAAGACTCTGGTTCTCTTGTCTCCTTGTTTATGATTCTCCACGGTGATATCTTTATCAAGGCATGGTAATCTAGTCTTTCCCTCTCTCTACCAAATCTTTTGTTTTCTATTTCGTAAATGAGGTTTTCTATAAGATTATATTAGAATAATTTAGTGTGATTAGAGAGTTAAGTGTATGCGGTGAGAGTATAATAAACGCATCAACCTTTTTTTTCTGGCTTTGAGAGAGTAAAAAAATACAGTGAAAATTTCCACAAAAATATCTCCATTTCGATTTAACTGATTTATATGACTATAATTCCATTAATAAAAATTTGTAAAAAACGGTTTATATCATCATTAACCATTCATATTATTTAACTGACGATCTAATTCGCAGGAATCATTTGAAACATATGGTATTAGAAGGGGGAGATGCATTTACCCACGCCCACGGTACGACCATATTCCAATACATGTGCAGAGACCAACCTTTGAACGATCTATTTAACCGGGCCATGAGCGGACATTCCATCATGACCGTGAAGAAGGCTCTAGAAGTTTATCGAGGTTTCGAAGGTGTGAACGTCTTGGTCGATGTGGGAGGAGGGGTTGGTACTGCTTTAGGTCTCATCACCTCAAAGTATCCCAACATTAAGGGTATAAATTTTGATCTAGCCAGAGCTTTAGCCGACGCTCCTCCTTATGCCGGTATTAAACATTTTAAAATCATATTTCTTTAATTTGCTGTACATTAGTATGTTGTTTTTATAGTTTATAATATATATATAAGAAAAGCTAGCATCTATATACACCTTTTAACATTTATACGGTAATAGTTTGATGCATAACAAGACACAAACTGAATTTGCTCTCGTATTGTGTTTCAAGGGGTTGAACATGTGGCCGGAGATATGTTCGTTGAAGTTCCAAAAGGAGATGCCGTGTTCATGAAAGTAAGCCATTCTCCGCCAAGAATCTTAATTTAAATGTATTAAGAAAATTCTATCTTTTGATTTCATATTATGAATTAAATACATCATATATAGTGGATTCTCCATGATTGGAGCGACGAAGATTGCTCCAAGATTCTTAGAAATTGTTGGAAAGCTCTCTCAGATAAAGGGAAAGTGATCATCATAGACGCGGTTGTTGCCGTAGATCCAGAAGGCCGTAATGTCTACTCAAACATCGTCTTCAGCTTCGACATGTTGATGATGTCTGTATCCCCAGGCGGGAAAGAAAGGACACAAACCGAGTTTGAAGCTTTGGCTAAGAGGTCGGGATTCAATCGCTGCGAATTCATATGCCGTGTTTTCCACTGTTGGGTTATCGAACTCCACAAAGAGACAGAAGTCTGACGGGAAAAAGATCGGAGTTCCTTTACATATCCATCGATCGCTTCTAATAAGCATCTTTCCATTTCTTTGTGGTTTCATGTTGTTGTCGTTGTCTTTTGGCATGTATAAGTAATAAAAAGCCGATGGCTGGTCAGATTGTATCCTTCATTTGATTCATCGTCAACGTCAAATGTAAGTCATATATATAATCTAGAAACTTGTTTGATAGAGAATATTCGGAATATCTGAACTTTTGTATATTTTTTTAATGGTTTTATTAAATTTACAGTTAACAAAAAAAATATTGGGAATATCTGAACTTGTTGTAAAACTTCCCAAACGACAAATTAAAACGATATAGTTTAGATAAATTTGGGGCAGCAATCCAAAAGATTTAGAATCTTGATTCATACACATTGAGTAAATTCAAACGTTTCAGAATCTTGGCTCATGAAGAATTCGTGTTCCTTTCTATCATTTATGAGCAATTTTATTGTTACAAAACCACATCTATTTATGGAGTTGGTTGCTAGATTCAACATTGTCACACCCAAAGTTTTGGCACTTTTTGACTATTTCTCCTTCAATTTACATATGTTAAATACACACACACACACACACACACACACATATATATATATATATATGAAATCGTTCTATCTAAGTGACTGCCAACCAAAACAAAATCCTATATCCGATTTTAAAAAAAAAACAGGGTCTTTTTAATACCGATTAATAATCGTCTAATCCTATTTGTTATCGTCTAATTAGATTAATCTGCATCTAATACAATTGCTTTAAAGGTTAGTAAAACAAGAAAATAAAGATGGCTTTCCGAGAAAAAAAAAACAAGTATGTGTTTATTCAGACTAGGTCATATATAGGTTGCGAGAGGGTGCCTTGTGTTTTTTTTTTTCTTTCTATTTTTCGTAAATGACTTCTACTAAACTGATTAGAACCTGTTTTAAGTGTAGTTACGGAAGAAAGAAAAACATGTTTTTTTTGGAACATTTATTATAGGAAGCTACTTGTATATGAGGTGGACATTTGGAGCTGTATTGGAATACAATATGAAAATAATTAAAAAAATCTAACAAAATTATTATATTTTTATAAAATGAATAATTTTTATTGGAAACCAAATCCAAATCTAACCTAAAAGAAAACAAACCAAAAATTGTTATAAAAATCGAATGGGTTTAGTTTTTACGGTTCAAAATAACCAGTCTTGATTTTTTTTTTTTAAAACGAAATATTCACCTTAGATATATTTATATTGGTGAAGTATTAGTTGGATAGTTAGTCTCTCCAGAAGATTTTAACATGCTTACTTTTCCCAAAAGTATCCAACCATATTTGAAAAAATTAAAAAAAAAAGAGGATTTTTTTTATGAAAATGAATTAAAAGAAAAGCAAAATTAAAAATTAATTCTTAAAATTGGCTTGATATTTCTATTTTTACGTTTGTAGCGTTTTGAAACAAAAAGGATGGTTCCATTTCGTAGCGATTTTCCTTTCGTAACTTGTATTGATATTTTTTTTGTAAAAGGTTTTGAATTTCATTACCAAAATTTTACAGTAGCGATCAACATTCAACATCCATTCAACTCCACCCACAAAGGTGTTGAATGGATGTTGAACTTATATTGATATATTGCCATTTTCCCTTCTATAAAATGGGCCAAAAACCAAAGTTCAACTCCACCCACAAAAATTGCAAATCTTCCCCTTCGATTTTCTTCAGTTTCCTTTAGTGAGAAGAAAGCGCAAGAAAAGAAATGAACACCACAGATATCGAAAAATCCTTAATCCCTAACCCTAACCCTAACAGAACCAAGGAGGAGAAAGAGGAAGATGAGGCGGGCTTGCAAGCGAGCAGGATATCAAACGCGGTGGCGTTCCCCATGGTTTTGAAAGCAGCCTTCGAGATCGGTGTCATAGACACTATCTCCGAGGCGGGAGAGGGCGCGTGGCTCTCACCTTCCGAGATAGCGAGCAGGCTTCCGACCAAACCCACCAACCCACAGGCTCCACTGTTGCTGGATCGCATGCTGCGGTTACTCACTAGCTACTCTATACTGAAGTGCCGTACGGTTCGTACCGGAAACGATGAGATTGAAAGGGTATACGCAACCGAACGTGTTTGTCAATTCTTTTTGACCGATAACCAAGACTCTGGTTCTCTTGTCCCTATGTTCATGCTCCTCCACAGTGATGCCTTTATCAAGACATGGTAATCTCTCTCTCTCTCTCTCTCTCTATATATATATATATATATATCATTTAAAAGGGTATATGCAACAACTTTGTGCATGTGGCATAGATGACAAGTATGTGGTATCATTTAATAATCCTCTTGCAGGAATCATTTGAAATATATGATACTAGATGGAAGAGACGCATTTACCAACGCTCACGGTACGACAAAGATCTTCGAACACATGAGGAGAGATGAACCGCTAAATGATGTATTTAACCGGGCCATGGTCGGACATTCCATCATGATCGTGAAGAAGGCTCTAGAGGTTTACAAAGGGTTCGAAGGGGTGCAGGTGTTAGTCGATATGGGAGGAGGGCTTGGTACTACTTTGAGTCTCATTACCTCAAAGTACCCTAACATCAAGGGTATCAACTTCGATTTAGCAAGAGTTTTAGCCGACGCTCCTTCTTATCCAGGTATTCCAAATCGTATTTCTTGTGTTGTACGGAATATGTCACACTTTTTCATATATAGCTCATAAATATATCAAAAGGTTTGTCTATTTTATCTGCTGTTTATGTAAATGTAACAAGTTCTACTCGAGTATTCTATATGGTTCTAGGGGTTGAAAATGTGGCTGGGGATATGTTCGTGGAGGTTCCGAAGGGAGATGCCATCTTCATGAAAGTAAGCTCTACTATAGCTTTAACTTTTAAGCCAAACTAAAAATGTTAATAAAGATTCAATCTTTGTAATGTAATTCATTCATTACCTCGAATAAAACATATAGTGGATTCTCCACGATTGGCCCGACGAAGATTGCGCCAAATTTCTTAGAAACTGCTGGAGAGCCCTCCCGGATAAAGGGAAAGTGATAGTCGTAGACACGGTTGTTCCGGAAAATCCTGAAGGCGGAAACGTTTATTCCAACATCGCCTTCGATTTGGACATGTCGGTGCTGTGTCACTGCTCAGGAGCTAAAGAAAGGACAAGAACCGAGTTTGAAGCTTTGGCTAAGAGATCGGGTTTCAACCGTTGCGAATTCATATGCCGCGCTTTCTATTGTTGGGTTATCGAATTCCACAAAGAGGCATAACTAAAGCTTTGATGAATGATAAGTTCGCTTTCTTTTTTTCTATAATATATCCATTGATGACTTCTTCCTTTCATGTTTCTGTCTCTTTGTGGTTCTTGTTGTTGTCTTTGTCTTTTGGCGGCTTGTATAAGTAATAAAATTAACGACATATATGCTACAATCTTCAATGGAACTTACCCTCTGATGAAGAAAATGTGTGTTATTTCATGGAGAAACCATATATAGAAAAATAAATTGAGAACAAAAAATAACATTTATCGATCCGAATTATCTCCATTGAACTTGTTATTATTCATCCAAGATTACAATATGTTGAAACGATATATAAAAATATTATTTATTATAGATTAATGTAACAATACTAAATTCTATTACAATATAAAATGTTCATAATCTCTAATATTCGAATATTTCAGATATCATTTTCGACCACCGATATAAAAATAAAAAAGAGACGTTAAATCATCACCTGTTTCCCGCATGGAAGATTTGTTATATATCATAAAAAAAACTGATTATTTTATAACAGCATTTCAAAGGCCCATTGGGCCTTATATATAGCAATACAAACGAATCCAATGGGCCTTAAAGGTCATTCAACAAAATATTTTTTTTCCCGATATATATGTATATATAAAATCTAAACTCTTAAAGATGAAATGTCATGGGGCGTTTTGTCTCTTGAGGGCGTTATGGAGTCACTAGACCATAATTTTAAATAATAAATTAAAAACAATACAATTTATACTTTAGTCCAAAAAGAGCTATACAAATTTACTTTATGATAAAGGATGTTTTGTAATAAGACTACTCAGATAGATGTTTTTTTTTTAATGGAGAGTATCTACATCATTGTTTTGTAAGAGATTTCGGGGGATATATGTATTATGCAAAATCACAACTTTCGAGGCAGATCACAATATTTGTTGAAAAAACTGAAATAAAAGATTGGTGAATATTGGAAACAAATCATGCAGCTGTTGCATGACACCAACCGTAAGTACAGCCCATAAACAATCATGCATTTCCTGTATTATTTTATATTTTTTTTATTTTGTTTTTTTATTGTTTATTTACTATATTTTTTATTTTGCCTCGATGTAATCAAATCATAAATAAAGATTATATTTCAGATTCAATTGTTCTGATTTTCCATAAATGATAAAATTTTATTATATCATTTTCTGTTTGATTAAATAAAAATCTATTTTAAATTTTTATTTTAATATTTGATTTGATTTAATTTAATTAATAAATAATTAATAATTAATAACAGATGTTTTTAGTGTAATATTATCTGATGTTTTAATCATTTAACAAACAATTAAACAGGCTAATTCAATTATTTCTCCCATAGCTATAACTAAATAAAGGTGATATATATTATATACCCCACTTCAAAATAGAAAGATGGCACCATACAGTAAGTGCGAGCCAATAAAAAAAAGTGGGTAACACAATGATATTCTTGTCACTTTAAAAAGATTTAAAGATATTGAATTTTTTTTTATATAATGCAATATAAATTATTTGTAGACCATGATTTATTAAATTTTATTTATTTTCAAAATTCATTCATCTGATTAATAAACAAGTAAATTAAAATAATTTCTCAAAATATTGTAAAGGTTGTCAGAGAAAAACCAATCATTCTAACAGTAGCTTTTCGGTCACCACCAATTTGTTGGAATATAAAAACGTGATTTGTGTGACGGAAAAAAAAAAACTGAGATTTTAACAATTTAGCATCGAAACCGAGACATTCTTTTCAGAACTTACAAAGGAATATTAATAATTTCTAAGATAAATCATAAAATGTATAAAAATATCCCACCAAATGTATTTTCATTTTAACTAAAAAATAAATAATATTTTTAGAAAATTTTATTATTTATACGGAGAATATATGATATAATTATATTTTATATACGATTCAATCATAGTGTTTTTTGTTTATATTATTTTCCAATAACAAGTAGGAGTGATCGAATGATCGTATACTCCCCTTTTTCCACATTGGTCTTTTTTGGTAAATCACATTAATTATGGTAGCATATTCGGGTTCTGATACCCAATTATGTCCCTATAAAGGAAGGCAATGGCGAGAGCTCAAACCACAGCTCGAAACAAATTTGCATCAAGTCCCCTTTTGATTTTCTTCAGTTTCGTTTGAAAAAAAGAAATGGACGTCACCAACTTGAACCATAACGCTAGCCCGAACACAACCAAAGAGGAAAACGACGACGACGAGATAGGCATTCGAGCGGGGAGGATAGCCAACGCGGTGGCGTTCCCCATGGTTTTGAAAGCGGCCATCGAGATAGGTGTCGTCGACGCAATCCACCAGGCCGGTGAAGGCGTCTGGCTCTCACCTTCCGACGTAGCCTGTCGCCTTCCGACCAAGCCCAGCAACCCGCATGCCCCGATGCTGTTGGATCGAATGCTGTGTTTGCTCTCCAGCTATTCCCTAGTGAAATGCCGTACTCGGACCGGCGAGAACGGCCGTACCGGAGTAACCGAGAGGGTTTACTCGGCCGAACCGATCTGCAGATTCTTCTTGAACGATAGCCAAGGCTCGGGCTCTCTCGCCCCGTTGTTCTTGGTGTCTCATAGCAACGTCTACATCCAGATGTGGTAGTTAATTCGATCGATTCTCTGTTCTATTATTACAGTTTATACGTACATGCATTAAACCGTTTTTATTTGTTTAACGAATCATGGGCAGGTTTCATTACAAGGACATGATACTAGAAGGGAAAGCTCCATTCGACTGTGCCCACGGCACGACCCTCTACGAGTACTTGCCGAGAGACGAGCCCTTCCACGAGCTGTTTCACCGGGCCATGTCGGAACATTCCACCATGGTCATGAAGAAGCTTCTAGAAGTTTACAAAGGGTTCGAAGGTGTGAACGTTCTGGTCGACGTGGGAGGCTCGGATGGCACCACTCTGAGCCTCATCACTGCAAAGTACCCTCACATAAGGGGTATTAATTTCGAACTGCCCGACGTCGTAGCAAAGGCTCCTTCTTTTCCTGGTATGGGACTATACGTACATATACGTATTTGGACTGTATACGTTTACATTTTTGCTACTGATTAATTAATGCATTTTTTTTTCAAATCATTGCCTATATACATATCATGTTTATGAATGGGATGTTTCAGGGGTGGAACATGTGGCCGGAGATATGTTCGTTGAAGTCCCAAAGGGAGATGCCATCTTCACTAAAGTATGTTCTATGTATACTATAGGTTTCATTAGATGAGTATAACCCCCAAAAAAAAATTAAGTAATACATCGAAAAACAATAACGAATATTCAAATGCGATTTTTCCATGAAGCGGTCGATCCACGGCTGGAACGACGAAGACTGCGTGAAGATCCTTAAAAACTGTTGGAAATCGCTTCCGGAAAAAGGGAAGGTGATCGTAATGGAAACCATTGTTCCGACAAACCCGGAAGGCGGGGGCGAGTACTCCAACTTCGGCTTCGACCTGGACGTGTTGTTGCTGGCGCTGTGTGCGGGAGGGAA